ATTTCAGGAGCTTCCCTAAGAATCCAGGTGGAAACTGAAACATCCTGCAGGAACCCAGGGCTTCCTTGTGCAGTGGCCCAAGAGGGTCTCGCAGCCTGGCAAGCTTGGGGACTGGGGTCTTGCTCACCGTGTGCTCCCCTGCCCCATGGCCTACCTGGGTGGGGATAGAGGTGACAGAGGCATCGAGGAGGAGGGGGGGGGGGGGGGAGAGGAGGAGGGGGAGGGGGAGGAGGGGAAAGGGGGAGGAGGCGAGTCCTTGGAGAATTTGCCAGGTTTCTGAGAGCAGCGGCCACATATGTGCTGTGGCGTCCGTGGGCTCGCAGGGACATATGTATCTATACCGTGGGGGAGCGGCAGCCCACACACCAGAGCATTTTGATGGCTAATCAACCCCAGAGAGAAGAGCTGGGCTTGGCTCTGCTGGGCGGGGGACCCGGAGAGGCTGCTGTCTAGGTCCGTGTGTCCCTGAGGACAGGGCTTGGGACCCTTCTACATGGTGGTGCCCTGAGGGAAAAGGTCAGGGTCAATCCCAGCCCTTGGAACCCAGGGAATTCCAGCCACCCGGGGCCACCAGGCTGCCCTGGGGTTGAGGGCCTACAGGGCAGTGGGGACCTCTCTGTGGGCACCACAGCAGTCACACAGGGGCCCATGTTGAAAAGTGTCAGATGCTACTTTTTTGGGAGGGGAGGTACCAGGAATTGAACCCCGGGGTGCTTCACCACGGAGCCCCGTCCCCAGCTCTTTTTCATATTTTATTTATGGACAGGGCCTCACTGAGTTGCTTAGGGCCTCACTGAGTTGCTGAGGCTGGCCTTGAACTTGCGATCCTCCTGCCTCAGCCCCCTGAGCCCCTGGGATTACAGGTGTGCACCATCAAGCCCAGCCAGGTCCTCTTTTAATGCCCTCTTCTGACTTGAGATTCTTACCGTGTTTGAACAAAGGACTCCCCATCTGCCCTGAACCCCACTGAGTGCCCCTGTCCCTCAGCATTCACAAAGAGTAGGTCCCAGGACACCCTTTGGCGGCCGTACTCTGCGGATACGCCACTCCCTTATGTAAAGAGGCATAGTATCTGCACACCACCTCCAGACACCCTCTTTTATACTTTATGAGATTTGCCGCCTGTTCTTTGTGTAATACTGGGGACTCGAACCCGGGGCTTTGTTCATGCCGGGCAAATGCTCTGCCCCTGCCCTACACCCCCAGCCTGGCCCCTTACGCCTCAAACCATCTCTAGGCAACTTGTAGTACCCAATACACGTGGGCACCACGCCAATGGTTGTTACATTGTCCTGCGAGGGAATAACAAGGAGCAGGGCGCGATGGCGGCACACCTGCAATCACAGAGGCTCGGGAGCTGAGGCAGGAGGATCGAGAGTTCAAATCCAGTCTCAGCTACTTAGCGAGCCCCTAAGCAACTCAGTGAGAGCCTGACTCTAATAAAATATATTAAAAAAAAGGGCTGGGGATGTGGCTCAGTGGTTAAGTGCCCCTGGACTCAATCCCCAGTACCAAAAATAAATAAATAAATAAAAAGAAATAACAAGAAGAAAAATCCAGTCTGCACATGGTCGGGACAGATGGAATTTTTTTCCTCAAATATTTCCAACCTGTGGTTGGGTCTGCAGATCCAGGGCCAAGGCTCTGGGCTGCTGTCTACAGCCCGGGGGATAGTACTTAGCGCTAGGAGGGAAGATGAAGGGTCAGGGGTATGAAGGGGACATGGAGGAGTGGCCTCTGGGCGAAAGTGTCCAGGGGCAGTGGGGACAGCCAGAATGACAGCCCCGAGGTGGGGTTCACTGGGGTGGCCCAGGAAGGGAGGGGCCAGTATGGCCCAAGAACCCCCAGACGAGTGACCCACACTGGCCAGCTCGAGGGCAGCTGTTCTAAGGAATTAAAAACATGTCAATTACAAATAGGTCCAGTTTCATCTTTTCTTGATTCTGAAAGGTGTAGAAAATAGAATTTGTTTTAAAACATAAATGTGCCAAAGATTTTTTTTTTAACCTTTGGTGCTGGGGATCAAACCCAGGGCTTTGCACATGCTAGGCAAGCACTCTGACACTGAATTATCCCCCAACCCTGTGACATTTAGTTATTTAGAGATGGAGTCTCACTAAGTTGCTGAGGCTGGCCTCAAACTTGTGATCCTCCTGCCTCAGCCTCCGGAGTCACTGGGGTTACAGGTGTGCGTCTCTGAGCCTGGCTTTAAAGGAACAGCCTAGAGTACAGATCCTGAGCCTCCCTCTGAAGCCACGTTTGCCTGAGTTCAATCCCAGCAGTACCACTTCAAGCTGTGTGATCTGGGGCAAGTTGCTTTACTTTTCTGAGTCTCATTGTCTTCTCCCGTAAATTGGATATGATAAGCTTTATCTCAGGCGGTTGCTGTGAGAAATAAAGGAGCTCATATATATATATATATAATTCCTAGAGGAAAAAAAATGAATGTTTTTATGAATATGTCTTAGCCATTGTTATTTGAAGAAAAGATAAATAGTTCTACACCCTGGGATTGCTATTTATTCAGTGCTTGCTAGATGGGAGAAGTATACGTTTATTTAATTCTCACAATAACTCCATAAAGGTAGTTATCATCACCCAATTTTTTTTTTTTTTTAAGACATGAGAAAACAGACACAGAGAGGTAAGTAACTTGTGCCAAGAAGCACAGCTGGGCTTTAGAACCCAAGTGGGTCTGGCTTTGGCTTTAGTACCTTTGGCGCTCCACTTCTCTTTGTTTTGCAACCCATCAAATCAGGAAAAGGAACCAAAGGCATCCACAGGGAGGGAGAAGATGTTTGGCTCAGTTATGGACAGGAGGACTGGCCAGGCTTGCAGAACACCAGAGGGGCCACGCCTGGTGGGCTGCGTGCACCTAGGGATCTGCCCGACCTGCAGCCTCCCCTCCAGGGGGCGGGACTCACCGCACAAGTCGGCCCCGCCCCGGCCAGGCCTGCCCCTCCAGCTAGCCCACGCCCCTCAATCCGGCCACGCCCCTCAATCCGGCCACGCCCCTCAATCCGGACACCCCCTCACGTCCGGACACGCCCCTCGCCTTCCGGCCACGCCCCTCGCATCCGGCCACGCCCCTCGCCTTCCGGCCACGCCCCTCGCCTTCCTTGGTTTCCCACCAAGAGCGCAGGGATGAAGACTGACTTCACGCTGATTCCAAGTTACCCCCGAAGCCATCACGTCCAGGGAGGACGCGCCGGGCCACAGTCCCGGCTCCCAGGGCACCGCCTCTGCCCGGTCCTCACTGGCCGCCGGCTCATTTCACCATCGCGTACTTGAAACGCGCTTAGGTGGTCCCCAGTTGTGGCGCTTTCCGTGGGTGACCCATCACAGTCCCAGGGGACATTCACGGTCCCCACTTTATCCTTGGGGAGATGGAGACACGGCGTCCATCTGGGCAGCTTTGGCTCCTAACTTTTGCCGCCCTGAGGCTGAAAGGGGCAAGCCAGGTGCCCGGCCGCTGGTGTCCTGCTTCCCGACCCCACAAAGGAAAGCTCCCGAGAATGTCCCAAGGCCCTGGGTCCCTTCTAGCCAGGACCCAGGACCCTGGGGGTTCCTAGGATTTGCTCCCTGCAGGGACATTTTTTAGGTGTCCTGGGAGAACGCCCCCATCTGACCCCCAGCGTCCTCGGAGGACCGGTCCCCTGGGCACGTATGACTGTGCGTATGGACAGGGGCTCTGGGCAGGGTGTGGGAACCCTAAGCTCCTGCTTGGGGAACGTGCCTCTGTGGGGGGGAGAATCTGGGATGAGAGTCCAGTGCGCACACTCTGGAGCCAGCTGCCCAGGTCCCCATCCCAGTACCACCACCTACTCGCTGTACGACCTTGGGCAAATCACACAATTTCTCTGTGCCTAGTTTCCCCCATCTATAAAATGGGGGTAACAAGGATACCTGTGTCTTAGGGTTTCATGCAAACTAAAGGGGGTAACATGTGTCGGGGTTAGACAAGCGCCAGGCGGCCGGCAAACACCATCAAAGTCAGGGCCATTGTCATTGGCAAGTCTTCCCTGGCTCCAAAAGCTCCTCTTCTTGATGTGGTCCCTTTCATTTGGAGACTTGCCAGAGGCTTCCATCAACTCAATCTGCAGAAAGTTCCTGTCTCTGGCAGCCTCTCTGTCTCATGCGGTCCTAGTCACAAGTCACCCGGATGGCTCCAGTGACCTCCTCTGTGATCCCCCACTTCTAGGCTCCCTCATTTCTTTTCCTTAGAGATATTTTGCCACACATCCCCACCAGGGGCCACGAGGTGCTCCATGTTCCGGCCCCTGTGCACCTTCCAGCCCTCACTTCCTACCACTGGACCCCCATTGGTTACTGTGCTCCAGCCACAGCAAATGCACCAAGGTCTTCACTGCCCCAGGACCCTCGCACATCCATCTTCACCACATTCTCCCCAAGCGGCCTCCCCTTTCCACTCAGGTCACAGCTCAAATGTCACCACCTCAGAGAGGCCCCTCCCTGCCATCCCATGGCAGGATAGGATCTGATTTACGCTTTAAGACGATGATTCGAAAGCTTTGTGGAGAAGTCGTGGCTTACACAGCTTGTTCCCAGGCACCCCTGCGTGGACCTCCGTGAATCGTAATTCAGCTGTTCACTGACAGGCTCCGTGCTGGGGATTGTGTACAAAACCAAGACGAATGAGTCACCCGGCAGCCGTCGGGAGGTCAGCACCCAAGCTGGGAGGTTACCTGGTGATTTCTCACGCAGAAAACATTTCGTGGATGGAAACTTTCTGTAAAGAGTGACATTTTTCTAACCAGTGTTAGGAGGCCCGAGTTTGAGTCCTGGCTCTGACATTAGCTGTGAAGACCTTGGGTAAGTTATTTAACCTCTCTGAGCTTCCTTTATCTCACAGCCCAGCTGTTGGGAGTAAAAGATATAGAGTGTGGGAAAACGCCTAGCATGGGTTAGACAGTAAATATCATTTGCTCTCTGCCTTCTTTCTCTACCCTCTAGACTCTCAGTCCTTGTTTTTTTTTATTCACATGACTCAACTTTGGGCATTCTGGAGATTCACAGACCAGGGATCAAGTGCTTGTGCGCAGAGCTTGAGTCCCTGCTTTCTTAGCTGTGTGACCTCAGGTAGGTTGCTTGGCGTGTCTGTGCCTTAGTAGCCACATCAGCAAAGCTGAAGAACTCTTTGCTTTTACCCTTGATCATATTCATCAATGGCGTGCTTACAGTGGCCTCAGGCCTGGACAGGAAGTCGGGGGATACAGCGGCAGAGGAGACGGGGCCCTTACAGAGACGAAGGGCAGCACTGGACTCTGAGAGGCCATGCCCAGGGAAGTCGCACACGCCATCCAGGTTCTTTAGGGCAGGAGAGGGTCGTGGGGGGGCCTGTCTCTTCATTCAAGCAAGGTTTTCTGAGTGTCATAAAGTCAAAAGCCCTGTCCCAGGCCAGGACAATAAGCCCTGGTAATGCATGTCACGAGTTCAGCACGGAGTGTCGGAATGCTAAGGTGTGGATGCGATTTGTGTTGGAAACCGGATCCTCAGTGTGGCAGTGGTGGGAGATGGTGAGGCTTTAAGAGGTGGGGCTGCTGGGAGGTCATTGGGGGGCCTGCCCTTGGAAGGAATTGATGTCACTCTCTTGCGACCCTGGTGAAGTCTTAAGGGGGGGCTGTTGTGAAAGAGGGAGCCGGGCCCCTCCCCAGTCTCTCTCTTAGTCCAATAGCTGATGCTATAACAAAATACCAAAGACGTGGTACTTTAGGAAGAAAAGAGGCTTACTTAGTTCACAGTTTTGAAGACTGAAGGTTCACATAGCACTAATTCTGCTGAGGCTCTGTTGGTTGCATTGTATCGCGGCAGATGGCATCATGCCCAGAGAACACGGGAGAGGAGGAGATCACACAGCAAGACGGGGAGCCCGAGAGAGCACTCAGAGGTGCACAGAGAGAGGCAGGGTTTGTGTCATTCCATTGCTGGCATCTGTGCTGAGCAGACTGCGGCCCTGCGGAGAGTGCCGCCAGGTGTTTAGCGGGCACCCGGGGCTGTCCTGGGCACCCGGGGCTGTCCTGGGCTGCGTTTGCTCCGATCCACAACCTGAGACAGATCCGCAGGCCAGAGGCTTACAGGGAGGGGCCCCGGGAAAAAGCCCCATAGGTGGGGTGGCGAGGGAAGCAGACTGTGGTGCAGTCGTGACAGCAGATTCAGCCAGTCCCACGGGGACCACGGCCCTGCGATGGCAGGTAGAGGTGTCCTGACAAAGGCAGAGCCCAGGCCTTGGACGTGGGTGCCGCTGGGAGGGTGACCTCGGCTGGTACAGCTGTCCTGTGCTCAGGCAGTTCCCAGGGAAGGGCTGGGCCAGGGACCTGTCACCTGTGCTGCGGCTCCATCGCAGGAAGAGGTCACAGTGCCCCAGCCCCTGCCACCCGGGTCATGCAGACCGAGAGGCCAGCCTTGGCTCTGCTCTTCCTAGTCGAGGGACCGTGGGTGAGTCCACAGCCTGGAGCCTCATTGTCCCATCTGTGAGTGGGGGCTGGGGCCAGGAGGGACCTCATAGGGAGGGGTGGGGACTGCATGAGTGTTCCGGGGGAGGCTGGGTAGGGGGCTTGGCAGCCGTATGAGAGGTCGTGATTACTGTGCCGTGACAGTGCAAAGGGCCCCATCTAAGGCAAACTGTACCGTGGGTGTGCGGGGACATGCACGCGAACCCCGGGAGGGCAGGAGTTCAGAGCAGGAAGGGCGGCGGCCAGGAAGGCTCCTCCGGGTTGGCGACAGGTGAACTTTGAGAAAACTGTGCTACCTGGCTGTGGAAGCCAAGGGAGGGGCAGAGGGAGGGACAAATGATGGGACACAAGACAGCACTGGGAGTCCAGTGGTTAGAAGGCGTCCACGCCATGGGGGGCCTTGACTTGGGGGGCCCTTCCTGCACACAGGGGACTAGTGGGGGAGCTTTCTGCTTCTGACACCGCCACTCCCTTTGTCCCCTTGCTGGGCACCACTGCATCCGCCAGAAGTCAGGATACAAGAGGCCACAGGAAGGACGGAGCCACAGGCTGCAGCCAGACCACAGAAACCCAAAGGCGCTGGCTCCAAAGGAAATCCCAGGGGCGAGAGCATCCCCAAGCTGCAGGACGCTGGGGACAAGCACCCAGGAGGGCTCAGCAGGCCGCTTCCACCAAAGTCACCTGGCCAAGGCACCAGGCACCGCCATGGGTTGAGAGGAGGTGGCCATGCGCTCTGAGCCTTTGACTCGGGGTTAGGTCCACGGCAGGTGAGCAGAGGGGCTGGGGGATCCCGATCCTGGGACCCCACATGCGCAGGCTGCCCTAGGACCAGGGTCTCCCATCCTGGGACACCCGCGTGAACGCCTCGGGATCACCCAGAGCCCAGCGTTTGCAATAGCCGCCTGTCACTTTTTTGCCACTAAAACTTGACAGTTGGGCCTCTGAGAGTCACACGCCTTTGGATTCTCCAGAAAAGATGTTAATGGAGATCACAGGAGGGAAGCGATGAGTTCACATCATTAATCCAGTGTTTAAAGTGCCTTGTGTGGTGAGGTGCTGTCCTGGCCACTGGTCCGTAGAGGCAGCTGTGTTGGAATAAAACTTCCCAAACCTCACTCTGGGCTGTTGGAAGTCAGGGTGGCACCCCTGCAGCTCTGGGGGCTGAGTCAGGAGGATCGCAAGTTCAAAGCCAGCCTCTGCAACTTAGTGAGGCCCTGAGCAACTCAGTGAGACCCTGTCTCTAAAATAAAAATAATAATAATAATAAAATTAAATTTTTAAAAAAGGCTGGATGTGGCTCAGTGATTAAACACCCTCTGGTTCAATTCCTAATACCAAAAAAAGTCAGGTTAGTGTGATTCCCAGGACGGGCAGAGACCACAGGAGCATGTGAGGGGCTTTCGGGGGGCCTCTCAGGGGCTCTATCTGGTGCTGGTGACACAGGTAACACTTTGACGTTTCATTGAGTTGTAAGCTTAGGATGTCTGCATCTCTTCATGTGCTTCTTATACTTTCAAATGAAGCGAAAACATTTAAAAAGCTCCAAGTGCTAAGAAGTTGGTAATACCCTCTCCCAGGTGTAATTTGAAAAAACACACTCTCCTTAAAATATGGGTAAGAAAGTCAGCACATTCAAATCTTTTCCCATGATGTCTGTTTTGATCATTTTGGGGGGGTGGAAATCAAGTCTCATTTTTCAAAGCCTTTCTCCTCTCCTCGGCTCGCACACATTCTTGCCCAGAGCACAGACGTGGTAGGCCATTAATCCAATCTTGCTGGTAAATAAAACCTACACGATGCCCGTCTTCCTGGAATTGAAATTCTAATGAAGGAAAACAGCCATTGCAGAAGCAAACAGACGCGGAAGCAAGTTTTTTGCAGACGTCACACATCAGAGAGGATAAAACAGGGCCACAGGACACAGAGCTGGTTGGGGGGATCGTAAGGCGGGGCTCCCTAAAGGGTGGCACTTAAATGGATAATACACACCCACAAGAAGGCCATTCTAGGTTGTGGGAATGCAAGGGTTAAGGACACAAGAATTTCCTAGAGAATGAGGAAAGGCCTGATGCAGTCGGAGTCCACCAAGAGGGGACAGTGGTGGATAGGTCACTGGAGAGGTGAGCAAGGAGCCCATGAGGGATAGCAGTTGTTTTAACTAACCACGTGAGCAGTTCTTAAAAATACAGGTGCTGGCTGGGTGTGATGGTGCATGTCTGTAATCCCAGCGGCTCAGGAGGCTGAGGCAGGAGGATCTGCAATTTAGCGAGGCCCTGAGCAACTTAGGAAGACTCTGTCTCCAAAAAAAAAAAAAAAAAAAAAAAAAAAGAAAGAAAGAAAGAAAGAAAAACCTGAATACATTAAAAGAATTGGGGAGATGGCTTAGTGGCAAAGTGCCTCTGGGTTCAATCCCCAAACAACAAAAACAAAACAAATGGATGCTGAGAACCTATCCCCGCCCCCACCCCATGGTGGATGGAGCCCAGGTCCAGGTGTGTCTTAAAAATTCCCCAGGAGTTGAGATGTGCGTCCAGCAAGGAGGACACACTGGTGGGGAGCCCCCCAGAAGCCTAGCTTCTTAAAATTTATGCGCATCCAAATCCCCAGGGGACCTTGTGACGATGCTTGGATTCAGTAGCTGCGTCCCTTACAAACTGTGGGGATCGAGGACCACACTTTGAGTAACAAGGTTTTTGGCTGCGATAAGGAGGCTTATTTTTTTCACAGACCCATGGGAAGCCACTGGAGAATATTAAGCAGAAGGATAGCGCGACCTTACGGATGTTTTCCAAAGATTACGGAGGCTACAACAATGTGAAAAACAGACTGGAAGGGGAGCCGGAAGATCAGTCGGGAGGAGTCAGGAGGAAGGAAAGCTGAGTAACTGCTGCTCACTCGCCGCCCGAGGCCCTGGGGGTTCTGGGCATCAGGCTAGTGGGAGAGATTAGCCATGTCCAGTGTCCACGACCTTGACCGTGACCCCCTACCTGTGTCATCTCTGTAGATGCTCAGAACGATCTTCTCCCAACTTCACCCCGGTGATGACTCCCCAACCCAGATCTGTCTCCCAGCCACAGAGATCTCTGACAGCAGATAGGGGGGTGGGACAGAGACCAGAAGAAGAAACAGGGGTAAAGCGCTATGAAAATGATCATCCATATCTCAACGCTTGTTGCCAACTAATAGATCTCTTGGGTCAGAGAGTCCAGGCTCCCTGCCCAGATGAATGAATGAAGCATGGATTCCATTTGGAGGCCTGACGCTCCCAGTTGGAGAATAATTCCCCCAGTCCCATCCCCTGCCTTCAAACCAATCCCCAGATCCCTGAGAAAAAGAATCAGGAGTCAGGAAATCAAAAGAAGCAGCCAAGTCCTCAGGGGATGAGGGGTGTACCGTGGCTAGCAGATGGAAATCTTTCCCTGCCTGAGTGCTCCTGGGGACCATTTTTGGCGGTGGGACACCACTCCATTCTTCTTCCAACTTCACGGAGAAGTGGACTGGCGTGGGTTGGACTGCGTCTGCTGGCTTGCTCAATGCCAGTATTAATTCCTCAACCTCCAGAGAATCGAGATCCCAACCCAGGAAATGGAGAAAGGTCGATGTTTTGGGATACAAAATGACCCAATG